GGGGGAGAAAGCAGATTTGCCTGTTGCCTGAGAAATATTTTTCTATCTTTATATTTAAAGTGTGTTTCTTGGGGCGCCTGGGTGGCTCAGATGGTTGGGCATCTGCCTTCAGCTCGGGTCATGATCTCTAGGTTCTGGGATCAAGTCCCACGTCAAGCCCAGCATCGAGCTCCCAGCTCACTGGGGAGTCTACTTCTCCCTCTCCCTTTGCTTCTACCCCCTGCTCATGCTCTTTCTTTCTCTGTATCTCTGTGTCTCAAATGAATAAATAAAATCGTTTAAAATAATAATAATAAAATGTGTTTCTTGGGGAGCCTGGGTGGCTCAGTCGGTTGAGTCTGCCTTTGGCTCAGGTCATGATCTCAGGGTGCTGGGATCGAGCCCCAGGGTGGGCTCCCTGCTCAGCGGGGAGTCTGCTTCTCCCTCTGTGCTCTCCCTCTCTCTCTCTCTCTCTCTCTCTCAAATAAATAAATAATCTTAAAAAAAAAAGAAAGTGTGTTTCTTGTCAGCATCATAGAAGGAGATTTTTGGTTTTTGATACAAACAGAAAAATCTGTTTTTTAACTGGTGAGTTTATTGTGATGTGTCCAGTAATTACCAATATGTGTGTATTTATTTCTGCCATTTTATTTTGTATCTTTTATTTACCTTGCTTTTTCTCCTTTCCTTCCTTTTATATACTTAATGAGTTTCCTTTCTTCCCTTTTTCCCTCTACTCTTGGCTTCTAAGCTCTGTATTCACGGTCTTTTATTTAATGGCCATATATTGTTCTCATCAAATAATTTAGAACCAAGTTGTTTACAGCCTCCCCAAAGTGAGCCATTGCTTTCTTTAATTACCTGCACACTTGTCACTTCCTTTCGTCCACCATTCCTAGTTTTTCATCTCACTCTTCCCATTGGGGCTCAGTTAACTGCTCTTAAAGTACATCGTTTAATAGTTGTTTCAGTGAATGTGTGTTGGTAATGTTTAGGTCTTTAATGTCTGAAATTTTTTAATCTTGCTCTCATTCTTGAAGTATGATTTAACTGGGTCTAGAATTCCACCTGGATAGTCCTTCTTCTCAGTGCTTTGAGGTCTTTCCCGCTGCCTTTGCTGTAGACCCTTGCTGTGAAACATCTATTCTCAGTTCATTGTTGTCCCCTTCTAGTAAACTGTTTTCACTTCCTAGTATTTTAGAGACCTTCTCTTTGATTTTACCATTTGCAGTTTTACTATTTTGTGTGTGGGTGGTGTTTATTTTTGTCTTCGTTGGGATGCATTATTCTTCCCAAATCTGAAAATGCTAGCATTTAATCAGTTCTGAAAATTTTCTGCTGTTTTCTCACTGAGTATTGCTTCTCCTCATTCTCTCCATTCTCTATTTTAGGAACTCAATTTATAAATATTATGTGTTAAGTTATTTTCCTTTTCCATCTGTCTTAACCTTTCTTTCATGTTATCTGTCTCCATCTCCCTATGTTTTATTCTTCAATGAATAAATTATGTAATTTTATTAGTTCTAGCTTCCAGTTCACTCTGTTGTCCTCAGATAAGATTATTCTACTATTTGGTACTTCCATTAAGATCTTAATAATATTGGGACACCTGGGTGGCTCAATCGGTTAAGCATCTGCCTTCAGCTCAGGTCATGATCTCAGGGTCCTGGGACCGAGCCCTGCATCGGTCTCCCTGCTTAGCTGGGAGCCTGCTTCTCCCTCTCCATCTCCCTGACATTCCCCCTGCTTGTGCTCTCTCCCTTTCTCTGTCAGATAAGTAAGTAAAATCTTTAAAAAAAAAAAAAAAAGGGGAGGGGGGATCTTAATAATATTGACTATACTTTTCATGTCTTGACATTCTCTTGTTTTATCTCAGATATACTTGATATTTTTTAATAGTGGCTTTAAAAATATATTTTCACGTCGTTATACATGTTCATATTTTATAATCTTTTTCTAGTAATATGCTATTTGAAGTTTATGGAAATCTAATCCTTCTTTTCAGTGGATGATATCCTAATGTGTTTTGTAATTTTGAATTATAAATTTACTTTGATTATAACTTTGTCTCCAGGAACACTGAACAGCCAAAGTTGAGGGTACATCCTTCCATAGAAGTTTGTTTGCTTCTGCAGAGATACCTTTAGTATCATTGATCCTGGACCATTTTTTATACTATTTTCTAAGCTTGGGTATTTCTGACTAATTGTGATAGTATGAACTCAATCCAAAATCCACATGAGGCATTAGCCCATGGTTATAGATTCTTCAGGGAAGACTTTACCTCTCCCATGTAGAGGCCAAGATGAGACAAACATTCTTCCTTGATGTATTCCTGTGTTGATAAGTGACTTTTATTAATGGCTTAGCTCTTTAGAGTCCTTACTTTATTCCTGAGTATCTCATTTTTCTTGTCACTAGCCTTTAAAATGTGCCTGACTCATCTCTTGTTCCCTCTTGGTGTTTAAAGTTCAAAGTTACCAAAAAGAAAACTCTCGTCGCTCCTCCTTCGCCCACTACCCAAAGCTATGTCAGTACACATGCTGGTGGCACTTGTTTTCATTTCTCTTTGTTTTTGTTCCCTGAGACTTACCTCTATTTCTTGCCCACATAGCTGTTTTAAAAGTTGGGTTTTTTAGCTAGGTATCTTATAGCCAGAGGCCTTAGTTTGTCTGGTCATCCGTACTGTTACCAATGGAAGTTATGTGTGGTTCATTTATTTTGTTTTTCTCTGTGTTCCTAGGTTCTATTTGCATGATAGTTGAACACTGTTCAGTTTTTTCATAATGTGAATATACCCAGATTTTTAAATTTGGAAATGTTTATAAGGTTCATCTTAGGTCATTAGATAAAAAGCAAGCTGCAGAATGATATGTATTACATACTTCCATCTATATAAAGACAAATATTTGAGAAACTGAAAGTAATTCAGTTGGGTGGAACATGGGGTTATGCAGAGGACCAGAGGAAAGGAAAGGTAAATACAGCAAGCTATGAAGTTGGGGTAAAAGGCATCTGCCACATCATAAGGTACTTCATTTGCCAAGGTAAGATATTTGGCCTTATTATTTAGGCAGTATTAAATCATAGGTAACATGATCAGATCTATTTGTAAGAAAGCCAACTTAGATTGCCAAAGTAAACATAGGTAAGCCAATTAGTTTACGGGTGGTGTAGTTTGGTTAAGAACTGAAGACTGTAGAAATGAGAACAAATGACAAAAACACAAGAGGTATTGATGAGGCAGTAGGGGATGAGGGGAAGGGAAAGGTGGAAAGTCTTGGTTATCCTTGGGCCATAGAAATGAGGGAAATGGGCTGATCTAAGATGCCTGCTTGGTGGTGGCTTTGATGATGAGGTAGTAGAATAGAAATTCCCTTGCGGACGCTATTTGGCTTGCCATTGGTACATCTAATTGAAGAGGAACAGTAGATATACGAATGATGTCTATGCACTCAGGAAAGGTTGAGGGCTGGAGATTAACAACAACAACAACAAACACATTGGAAGATGATCGCATATAGTAGAGGTGAGAGCTGAAGTGTTAACAGTAAGTGCAATTGCCCAGGGATGACATATAGAGCAAGAGAATATATAACCAAGGGCAAAACTTTGATGAATGCCCACATGCAAAGAACAAATAGACATCTAAAAAGTAACTGTCAGAGTTAAGAAGTGAACCAGGAAGTTTTATGGAGGCCAATGAGAAAGGATTCCATTATTATTATTTTTTTTTTAATTAAGTCAATAGTGACAGTGAAGTCAAGAAAAACAATACTTTGGATTTGACAACTAGAAGGTCATTGTTAGCCTTTGCCTGGGCATAGTTAGTAGAGAAAAAGAGAGCAAAACTCCTAATTTAATGCTTTTAGAAGTAAATGGGGGGCTAAATTTGGGTGATAAAAACCTTTTGTGATAATTTTTTTTATTTTGAAAGGAAGGAGATGAGTTAGCTAGAGAGACTCAAGATCAAGAGGGAGGTGAAGATGTTTTATTTTTTTTTTATGGAGAAATTTTTAGGATTTACTTAACCAACTTCAGTCATGTTTATTCAGTAAATTTAGGGTCCAGAGGAGGGGGAAAGGTTGAAAATTTAAGAGAAAGTGTATGTGATTGAGCACGCTTCCAGAGGAGAAAGAGTAGATAAGATAACTTGAAGAGTCACATGTTCTTGAGAAAAAGAACAGGATGTGAAGGTAGATGAGATTCAGGGAGTCAGTGATTTTTATTTTTTTTTTTCTGGTATAGGAATCAAGATCATCTGCTGGTTTTGGAATTAGCAATAGTAACACATTGTAGGGGACTTGCCAGGGGTGAAGGTTTAAAATAGTCACAGAAATGACAGGACAGGGAGTGATAGATGACTAGGAATAATTAAAAGAATTGATCAGTAACACTGAAAGCCTCATTAAAATAAGTGAACCACATTTTTTCATGACACCATTTTTTATGGTAATACGATTTTGTTTGTTTTAATCTTTATGTCAGCAGTATTTAGTATTCTGGGCATGAAGGATAGAATGTCAGTTTTGAATGACTATGGGAATAGCAGAAGCAAGAGGAAAGCAATGTGGAAAAAAACCCCAACATTGTTTAGGTGCTATGGAGGAGGTGGTTACAATAGTATCACTGCTAAGCTAATACAAATGAATAGCCACAGTTTTTCAAAAACGTATATTCATCTAGGACTGGGCAAAAATAAATGAAGAATAAAAACTTAAAACTTGGTCATTTTTTCCCCCAATTCTACACTAGAGCGTTATCACATACTCATTTCAAGCACCGTGGTTTACTGATTAACAATTCTCAAGAAAGGGGACTTGTAGTTAGAAGTCCCCCTGGTAGGTGTGGGGACTGAGTATCAAGATAGCAGAGACCAAAAAAGATGAGGGAATAGAACAAATTGTTGGGGCTGCATACATATTATTTTGATTATGTTCTTTAACTCTTCAAATAAATGCTCTTGAGGGCGATACTGCATAAGTAATTAATTTTTTTTGCATTTTTTGTTTTTTTTTAAGGCTTTCTGTGAAACTTTAGAAGAGACAAACTACCGTTTTCAAAAAGAACTACTTGAAAAACAGAAAGAGGTGGAATCACTGAAGAAACTGCTGAATGAAAAGCAACTTCATATAGAAACTCTAGAGAGCAGAATCAGGTGTATTGTGATACTTGCATTTTTAGACTTACTCATTAAACTTTTAATACTCTGGGCTAAATGCCCTTTGCATTTTAATATGATTTAGGAAATTTCCAATTCCAAAAGTCTTAGACTCTTGGTGTACCTTTTTTGTAGATTGGGAAAATTGCGTTTTGATAATTTATTTAGAAGGTTGAACATTTGAAGGATAGGAAACATCAGAAATATAAGCCTCTAGCTGTTCAAGATAAACATTATTCATTTTAACCCGTTTAAATGGTATCTTTGTTTCTAGGCATTTCTGCCAACTTTTCACATATGAAAGTTGTAGTTTACGTTCTTGTCAGCATATATTGAATTGATATTAAAACCATTTTACATTAATCATAAGTACTAATTTCTCTGTTGACTCCCAGAGTCAGCAATCTATTAGCCATATTAAGAATAGCTAAAGACTACTAAAGTTACATGTATTCACAAAAATAAACCAATACATACTTTATTTGTAGAAAATAACTTGTTGCTCTAATTTGCTTTTAGAACATTGTCTTTAGAACCCGAAGAATCACTGCACATGTCAGAAACAGAAGGTGGACACATCCCAAAGGTGGAGTCCTCCACACTTGAGGTTGATCAAGATGTTTTGCATGAAGAATCTAGGTAAATAATATTTGGTTTATTATAGCCTAATCATCTGAATAATTAGAGGGAAATAGTCAATAATACTCTAGAGAGTATTTTTTTGTGTGAACTCAGTGTTATTCTATCGTGAATCTGCTGAGCAAATAAAGAAAGACTATAGATATTGTAGGCTCTCCTTAAAAATGAGTCTTTGTCATCTAGGCTGTAAACATTATTACTTACTTTGAAGATATGTCTAAATTAACCATTCAGTTAATTCCTTAATTTTGTAAAGCTTGACAAATTAATCTCCCTCATTCTTTTTCCATTCAAAAAGTGGGATAGTGTAATAGCAACAAGCCTGCCTACCTAACAGGAATGATGAAAAGATAGTATATTTGAAAGCACATAGAATATTTATTACTTATAAATCCAAAGTCATTATTAATACTTTAGTGGTAGCAGCTAAGCTATAATTATGAGAACAGATATATGTTGGTGAAGGTCATTATAAACTGGATTTTTAGTGATAAATGGTAGTTGGGAGAGCTGAAAGAGTTAAAAATATATCTTCAAAGGTGTTGTCTGGTAATGACAACTTAAAAATATAAAACTTCTTGGAGCGCCTGGGTGGCTCAGTCGGTTAAGCGGCTGCTTTTGGCTCGGGTCATGATCCCGGGGTCCTGGGATCAAGCCCCGTGTTGGGCTCCCTTCTCAGTGGGGAGTCTGCTTCTCCCTCTCCCACTCCCCCTACTTGTGGTCTCTCTCTCTCTGTGTCAAATAAATAAATAAAATCATTAAAAATATCTATATAAAATTTCTGATCAAATATTTAAATATTCTTTTCCATTAAATATTTTCCCATTAATATTTAAATAATCTCTACATTAGATTAAAAAATTTTAAAGGTAATAGCGAAGTGAAATAGCATGTATCTTATCTCTTCATTGACATCTTTCTCTTTTCTTGCAGAACTGATGATAAGCCATGCTTAAGTTTTAGTGAACCTGAAAATTCTGTATCGGACATAGAAGTTGCAGAAGTGGCGTACAATGCAGAAGACTAATACATGACAAGCAGTTCCTTCCATGTATATGTTTCAGCAAATTTAGAATAGAGTGGCAAATATTTAAAAAGAAAAAAGACTGAAGCATTTACAGAAAACAGAAAGATTGCACATGTATTAAAGTTTACATAAAGAAAAGTTTTTTTAAGTTATTGGGATAGAAATGTATTCACTGCTGCTTTAAATTGTCTTTTATCCAACCTTTGTATTTAATACACTAAAAAAAAAATCTAGTTAGAGTTCTGTTATCAAGACTCAATTCTTAAATGATGTGCATAAGTTATTTTGGTATTTTGCCAATATATTGCTCCAAATGAATATGTGTGTGAGCACTCTTGTGTGTGGTGTGCATGTTTGTGTTTGTGTTTAAAATGCCAATTTTATCAGTTAAGTGGACATTAAATGCATGTTACTATCTGGTTGATATATACTTCTTTGTATCTCTGACATAATATATTTTCATTAGTGGTTTAAATCAGTGGTAAAGATGAATTAAGTTTTAAATATTGACAGGTTTACCATTTGTAAATAAAAATTGCCTGTTTGCAATGTTATTGCTATTTAAAAAAAAAAAAGAAAACTTTATAATACCAAAGGAAAACTATTTCAGAGAGCTATAGTAACATATAATAATGTAGCTAAAGTGATAAAATAGCCTTGATTTTAAAAGCTGATTCATTATCAGAATGCTATAGTAAGTGTCTAGTTTATTATAATATGTTGTACTTGTTTATTTTCCACATATCTTTATCTCAGATCTCTACCTGCAGAAACAGTGAGTTGTCCTCTTTCGGAATACTACCTCTTTTTGCTAATCAAGGCATACTCTTTTGAAAATAAAGATTCTAAGCAAACAGGGAGTTATACAAAAAAATACAAAATAAAAAGCCATATATACTATAAAGTTCCTTAACTACATTGACTCCTGGGATTGCATTTTTATTTCTGTATATGTGAATATGTTGCTATAATGTATTAAGGCTGATTTTCCTTTTAATATATTTCGCCAAGTGATGCACTTTATGATAATTAAACTCCTTTGTGCCAAGTTTAATTGGTGAATTTCTTTAGTAAGTGGAGTTAAGAAAAAGAATTATGTGTGCCTTCACTTTCACTTTTATACCAGTCTGCTAGGGTCTGTGAGTCAGCTTTATGAAAAGGTGTTTATTTCAGATTTGCTTATACTTGTTGAAAGTGCCTTGTTTCGTTTTTACTATATGAAGTTACTCATTTATTTTCTATTTCCACTGCTTTGCATATTGCTGTTAATAAGTGGTGTAATCCTGCTAGCATTTTGAAGTCCCGGTTGGTATATTGAACTGCATGTGCTTTCTAAAAGCTGAGGGAAACTTACTGGGAAAATAGAATAACAGTCTCCAGTTTTGTTTTCTTCACTATCTAAAAGTTTATCAGTATCTTGATGTACATATTAAAATGTAGTTGTTAAAATTCTATTTATGTAGATTAAGAGATCAAGTGGCTGTTGTCAACTTTTGATCTAAAAAGGAAACTGCTCCTTACCAAAGTACCAAAAATTTTAAAAGCCTTTGTCAAAATGCACATGTTCTCAGAGTATTTTCCACAAAGTATACTAGAAGTGTGTTTACTATCCTGGGAGATTGGAAGAATATAATAAACTGTTCTCTTTGTTCATTTCAAAATATTCTAGGCTTAAAAAGGCTTACAAAGAACAATCATTTAAATTAATATAATTTTTAGTCTAATGACAAGATGATATTTGCTAAATTCCAGATATTATAGTGCTACGTACATGTCTGTTTTAAAGTGAACCATACACTTTCAAAATCTGGCCTTTCAGAAGATTGTATGTAAAGTTTTGGATGGGTGAAGAAAACCTCTTGTTAATTAAATAAACCACTATTTATATTTAGAATTTACTTTTTTTACTTTTATGATGCATTTTATTCCCAGTACTATATTCATTTAATAAATTATTTTTTCAGTGTAGCAGTAGCTGTGTTGTTTAGATCTTGAATATCATTTTTCCCTTCAATTTCATGTTCTCTCTATCCCTTGTAATTATTGTAAATTTAATTGTACTTAACTGCTGCATTTCACAGATGTGGAATGACTTTATGATTTTTTTTTTTTTAGGTTTACATTTTGTATTACTGATCATTTTAAATCTTTGTGAATAGGTGCAATGCACTTCAAATGTAACCAAAATTAATAAAAAAAATTGGACATAATTCAAACAGGAAACACTTTTGTGAATAATGTTTTAACTTAACCTTTTAAAAATTAAGTTCATGTGTAGGTACTAAAACCATAAACCAGCATTTTAAAATGTGCTTTATTTGTCTACCATTCTGAGAGTAGACATTTAAAGCACATTTATTTAGAAAACCCTGTTCCTCAGATAAATAGTCTATGTAGTCTACTTCAACTATTTGTGATATTAGAAGGGAACAGTGGTCTTAGGTCTAAAAATAATTTGTGTAGTTTTGAAATGGGTTTTCTTACAGGAATAGAGGAGTTTGAGGATTATGTTAAAAACAAGTCTGTATTCTCAACCATAGAGAGAGAAATCTAAATTGTATCCTCTGGAAGATTTTCAAAGAGCTACATATTTGATCCACATTTTAGTTCTTCCAAAAGATAATAGAATTACCTTTACTGCATTGCACTTTGCTTCTGTGCTCTTGGCTTCTACTAGCAAAACAATCATCAGAACTTGGATTTTCAACACGTGTTTTTAAGCAGCTACACCGCACTGTGCCCTTTATGAGGACTGATGAGAGAAAATTCTCTTAGGTTTCAGCAGCAGTAAAACCGGTGCTTTTCTTAAAGAATTGATTTGTTTTTATCATAAAGACTCTATTACTGTCTTTCTCTTTTTTGATTTGTTTTTTTTTGGGGGGGCGGGGGGCAGCCTTAAGCCAAATTGTAGTTTGCCTGTAGCTACCATATAGAACCTTAGGAGTTGTATTTTGTGTAGTAAACATGACTTTATTTTTCTTATTTTCTCAACCCCAATTTTCCTCCCTATTTAAGGTCTTCAATTAGAACAGATGTATTTTTGTTCTGATGAAGTCTCAGAATTGAATGATATTTTAGACTCCATTAGGTAAGAACTTGTGATAGCCTGCACTAACACAATTACCGCACCATTAAGGATGGCAGGAATTACACAAAGCTAAATTCTTCTTCCCTTTAAAAGATGTTCTTAAGTAGCACCAGTGAATATGGAATGCAAACTTAGAAATGGGTAAGCTATGTTCTTGGTCAAAACACAATACTGATAAACTCTGTTTATGGTTTTAACCATAGCCTCAAATTAGAAGAACCCACTTAACCACTTCCCTGTGTATTACTTACAGAAAAGTACAATAGTGTCATTAGCTCCACACGAAACAATAATAAACAATATGGCTAATGTATGCTCAATAGCTAAAGTCAGTGTTTTATTGTAATAGATACAGATAAGACTTGGTATAGACGTTGCTCTAATGAAATGTTTGCAACCTAGCTAATTGTAATCAAAGAAATATTAGTGAGATGCTGGCTAAAGTTCTTTGCTATCATGTGAAATGAAAAGCCCACCTTGGGGTGATTAAGCCCATATCTGGAGGATTATTTCTTAGTATTAGTTCATCTGCCAGTCCAGTTTTCCAGTAACCCTATATCGCAGATACCACCATTCATTGACTAACCCAAAAGTTTCTTTACCCCCTCCAAAATAGGAATGTGATAAACCAAATAAGTTGTTTTTCTCAGCTCCCCTTGCAACTGGGTCTGAGCCTGTGACACGATTATGGCCAGTGAGATGGATAGAAGTATGCTGATAGCTTCTGGGAAATCACTCGCTTTTCCTGTAAGCGGGTAAGTTTGCTGCTCTTACAGCCTCTCCCCCTTCCTCTTGTTTTGATCTCAGGTAATGTGCAGAGGTACTATGGAAACCATCTTGCAAATAGGAGGTGTGACAAATGTGAGGGAAGAGCAAGGGAATCACAGAGACTAGCCACTTGTGAAACCACTAAAAAAAAATTTTTTTTTGTTAATTGTACCAAGATAAATTAAAAATAATTAAAGATAATTTTAATTTGAATTATAGGTTTAACCTTAGGGGGTAAAAGGCTTTTCAAACAAAAAGACTTCTACCTGTGATGATACTGTATATTTTGTTAGTAAAGAAAAGTGATCAAAGGAGAAACATTTTTTTTCTTGAAAGCTAAAAGAGAACCATCTATTAGACATATCAAAGATCGCTTACATCTGAGGCTCCTTTTGGCAAACCAAATATGAAGGAGAAAACAATCTATTGTTCGCCACATATGTAGTAGTCCGCTCAGGCGGCTGTAACAAAACCACAGACTGGATGGCTTCAACAACAAATTTATTTTCTCACAGCTCTGGAGGCTGAGTGCCAAGATCAAGGTACCAGCAGAGTTGGTGTCTGGTGAGGACACTCTGGGTTACAGAGAACAAGCTCTCTGGTATCTCTCATAAGGACGTTAGTCCTGTTGGATCAGGACCCCACCTTTAGATCTCATTTAACCTTAATCACTTCCTTGGAGGCCCCATTTCCAAATACATTCACACGAGGGGGTTAGGGCTTCAACATATGAATTTGAGGGGGGCACAAACATTCACATAACAGTATAGGGTACATCATCATTTAAATGCTTACAAAGATATTTCTCGGTTCAAAAGATTAAAGTAGATAGCCTGTTCTTTCATTTGTCCATTGAACAAACATTGACCATCTACCATGTGTCAGCTCTGGGTTATAAAAATTGTTAAGAAGCACATGAGCCCTTCAAGGAGTTCAGACCAATACAGCTTTGTATACAGGCTGGTCTGTACATGGTGCAGCATTGTGGCAAGCGTGGTGGTAATTGTGGTATTCGTGATGAATTACGGGAATGAGAAGGCTGGAAAGAAGGGCAAATATTGGTCAGCAGTAGAAGTGTAGAGCTTTAGCTCCTGCTTAAAAGTAGAAAGGTATGCCAAGCAAAAGAGTCCGCTTCAGCCTGTGCAAGTGGCAAGGATCATTATTATCCCTAATTCTTTTTCCCCGGTCCAATATATCAATTCTAGCTCCAAAGTAGAAGCCCACTTACTTGCTGCGATAGGCCAAAGAGGGACGCAGGAACCACACTGCATACCTTAAACACTTTATTTTAACTTAATGCACATGTATTCATTTGCCAAAGTTCAAATGGAGGTACAAAGCCCTTCTTTGGCACAGTTTTACTAATGAGTGCTTCTGATTTTCTCTCTTGCTAAGCCATATCCCTAATGCATTTTCTGATTCCTAGCTTTAGTTTCTGTACAGTGAAAGCATAAGATGTGTATGAAGGAATCTATGGCAGAAGGCACAATTTTTACTGTTTTTTTCCCTCAATCCTGTACTGCTATCTTGCCTACATTTTTACCAAGTCTTTCCAAACTGACCTAGTTTTCCCTAGAATTGATAATTTGTTCTCATACTTCGTTGTTTTGTATAATATTAATAACCTTATTTAAAATTTAATTTTAGGGGTGCCTGGGTGGCTCAGTCAGTTAAGCGTCTGCCTTCAGCTCAGGTCTTGATCTTCGGGTCCTGGGATCGAGCCCTGCATTGGGCTCCCTGCTCAGCGGAGAGTCTGCTTCTCCCTCTCCCTCTGCCCCTCTCCCTGCTTGTGTGCCCTCTCTCTGTCTCTCTCTCTCTCTCTGTCTCTTTGTCTCAAATAAATAAATAAAATCTTAAAAATAAAATAAGCTAAAATTTAATTTTAAATATAGCTAGTATGCACAAATTTGGAAGCCAGCTGGTGCTTGGAAATCACACAGTTCCCCGGGAAGAAAGGAGTGTGCAGGTATTCTAAGAAGAAACCAACTAGCCACAAGCATTCAGGGTGTCCTGGATGTCAGCACATTTTATACAGAAGATGCCAAACTTCAGCAGGTCAATTATGAATTGATCACCAGGATCTCCCTTCCCTGCATCCACCTTCCCCCACCATAATTCAGTCTCCCATGGCAGCCATGGTTTTCTTTTTGAAAAAACATGGCAGCATGTTTTTTCTCTATTTAAAAACTTTCAAGGTTTCCCATCATACTTAATATTACAACATTCAGACTTACATGGCCTTCAAACATGATTTCACTCTGCCAATTACTCTCCTTAATGGCAGTGCACATGGTCCCTTTTCCATTCCTTGAGTCTATTAAGGTCTTCTTCCTCCTAACCTGGCCATATCTCCTGTCTAGAATGCTCCTCCCAGAATCCTGGCAGGCTCTTCTCTTAAGTCATAGGTTAAATATTACCTCTGTAGGCAACCTAAAACAGTATTCAAAGCAGTCACCTCCATCTTAGATTTCTGTTTTTTTAAGATGTTATTTATTTTAGAAAGAGAGCACAAGCAGGGAGAGGAGCAGAGGAAAACGGAGAGGGGGAAGAATCTCAAGCAGACTCTGTACTGAGTGCAGAGCCCCAGGTGGGGCTCGATCTCACAACCCTGAGATCATGACCTGAGTTGAAACCAAGAGTTGGTCGCTTAACCAACTGAGCAACCCACGCGCCCCTTAGATTTCTTACTTTTTTACCTACCTCCCCAGTGCATCCCAAAAAGCAAGGCTTTGTCTTTTGGGGTCATGATCCCAGGGTCCTGGGATCGAGCCCCGCATCGGGCTCCCTTTCTCCTCTAAACTTTGCTCTTCCCCATCACCACCAAGCTTAGGAGAAGATCTGGCACATAGTAAGTGCTCAAAAGTACTTACTGAATGATTAAGATAGAGGCCTAAATTAGGGAAATATTAGAGAAAATAGAGGTATTTGAAATAAAATTGGGTCTTGGGGATTGATACTCTCTGGGTAGATTGATATGCTACTAACTGAGGAAGAGAAAGACAACAGTGAGATTTAGGGAGGCAGGTGGTAGATTGGGACATGCTGGATTTGAAATACTGTAGGCAATCCAAGGCAGTTGGATACAATCATCCAGAAATCAGGGCAGGGGTCTGCCTTATAGAACTCAAATCAGATTAATTAGGAGGTATTACCCGTTTTGTTCTTCATATCCCTTGTCCATAATACAGTGGTCTAAAACCTATTAGGGATTCCTATATTAGCAGTACTGAAATGAAGAAGACCAACAGTGCATGACTTCATGTGTACTATGGTGACAAGTGTCATGGAGATATGTCTGATGGGCCCAGGTGTCTCATTCAGTTAATTTGTTTTTCATTCCATCAGTAATTTGTTATCAGAGAAGATT